AGCGCATGCGCAGCTTGTCGGCGTAGCCTTGTTGGTGCAGCAACAGCTTCTTGGCCGGCCTGTCACGCACGATTTCCAGCGCGAGGTACTTGATGAAGGCGAAATCATCGCGCAGCTCGAAGGCAGCCTCCAGGAGCTCCTTCAGCTCCTTCAGCATCGCGGTGCTGCTGCTGGCGGCGAGCAGGTCGTCGACGTAGACCAGCACCCAGCAGGTCACTCCGACGGCACCGGCTTTGAAGTAGAGCGCCTCGTCGACCTAGCTCTTCTTCCAGCCAGCGCCCAGCAGCACACCGTCGAGAGCCCTGTACCACAACAGCGGCGACTGCTTCAGCCCGTAGAGGCTCTTCAGCAGCTTACACACCCGGCCGGTCCCATCGTCGAAGTAGTCTGGCTGGTACATGTAGAGCACCCTGTCGAGCTTGCTCTGTATGAAAGCATTCTTCATATCGAGCTGCATCAGGTTGAGGTCGAGGACGGCGACGATGTTGAGGAAGATCCTCAGCGTGACGTAGCTGCTCACCAGCAAGTACGTCTTGTCGTAGTCGACACCGTACACATGCGTGAAGCCTTTCACGACCAGCCTCGCCTTCTCGCGCTCGACGGTGTCGTCAATGCGGTACTTGTTATCAACACCCACCGGTTCTTCATGATGTTCACCCCGTGTGGGCGTTCGACCAGCTCCCAAGTGCCCATGCCAATGAGGCTGCGGATCTCTTCTTCCATGGCGCCCTTCACCGCCTCGCCCTTCCAGCTCGCCAACGCCTCCTTCACCGTCATCGTGGCGATGTCCCATCGGTGTTCGGGGTCGGCATGCACGTCGGGGTCGAGCTCCGGAAGTTCATCATCCTCCTCGGCGTCGTCGTACAACAGGTCGTCGTCGACCTCGTCATACACCGTGGTGTAGGCAGCTGGCGGGAGGCAGGCGTGGAAGCTCAGCCGTTCCGACGGCCGTCGAGCTCGACCTGTGCGTCGCAGCTCGGGCTTCGTAATCGGCACCTCCACCACGTCGTTGTCGGTGGACTCCTCACCCGCCGACCGCTCCCCTTCCTCGTCGACGTTCTCGTCATCGACCAGCTGCTTCGATCCTTCGACCGGCTGCTCACCACCTGCTGACTTCGACCGCTCCCCTGTCGACCACCCCGGTTGCTGCTCCCCTGTTGACTGCACCCCTGCTGTTGCATCCTGTTCGACCGGCTCCCCTGTCTGCTGCTCCCCTGTCGTCGACGGCTTCTCTTGTCGACCGCCGGCAATGCTACTGGCCGGCGCCACAGGTGACGCCTCAAGGCTCCCCTCATCACCGGTAGCTGACACAGATGTCGATGCAGGCCGACCTGCGACGAGGGAGGGAGGAGCAAGAACAGAGGGAGGTGGAAGAACCTCCACAACATCCTCATCAGCAGGCTCGTCGACTTCGACGAGCAGCAGAACCATCGCCATCGAGGTGTCCGTCGGCGAGTGTGCCCGCGTTCGTGTCAAAGATAGTAGGAGTACGGCCTAGGCTTAGTAGCCTAGGCCACAGTAGGACTAGAACGAGGAGGCGCCAAGTACGAGCTAGGAACGTGTGCACGAACAGAATTGAGGAAGGAATGATGGAACTAGCAAGTAGCAGGATACAAATAGCAAACCCTAAGGGGCTGTACTCACTATTGAGTACCCCACTGCAGGCTACACAAACAACATATTCTGACACACCCCCATAGCCAAAGTGGGGTGTAATCAGCACAATGAGCAGTCATAGCAATAGTTCATAATTATCAGCAAAGCTAGAGGCTATCACAGAGGGCAAGTGAGGAGGAGGAGGGACTGTGAGAGGAGAGAAGATGGGAGGCGACGACTGAAGCTGCAGACACACGGGCAACAGAAGCGGCTGACACAGTGGCGGCTGACACAGTGGCTACCGAGGCAAGGGCCCCGGACTACTGGAGTAACTGCTCTGCGGCTACGACGAGCGGCAGAAGCAACGGACCCACGGGCGACTGGTGCAGCAGGCTCTCAGTGGCTACCGAGGCAAGGGCCCCGGAATACAGGAGTAACAGGCTCTGCGGCTGCGACGAGCGGCAGGAGCAACGGACCCACGGGCAACAGGTGCAGCAGGCTCTCTGAGCTACCGGCGACAAGGGCCCCGGAATACAGGCGCTGCGGACGACACGACGGTTGCCTCCACTCAACCTCCCCCAACTGTCCCACACCCCCCTACACACACCCCCAGTTTCACCCCTAGCTCCACTCCCACATCACCCCCCTAGTGCCCCTCCCCACGACTCCCACACCTCCACCCCCCTCAGCGGCAGCTGCAGCAGTGGGAGACGAAAAAGGAGGAGGGGAGAACCCACACCTCTCACCCCCATGCTCGCCACCCCACACCCCAACCACCGCGGAACGCACGGTGGAATGGGAGCAATGGGCAGCACGGGGGGGGGGGGGGAGGGGGGGGGGGGGGGGGACGGGACGGGCTTCTGCAGGGGCGGCTCGCGCGGGTCCTGGGGCGGCTGCTGCAGGCACGGGCTGCTCCAGGGGCGGCTGCTGCAGGTGCGGGCTGCTCCAGGGGCGGCTGCTGCAGGTGCGGGCTGCTCCAGGTGCGGCTGCTGCAGTGGTGGGCGGCTCCAGGGGCTGCTGCTGCAGTGGTGGGCGGCTCCAGGGGCTGCTGCTGCAGCGGTGGGCGGCTCCAGGGGCTGCTGCTGCAGTGGTGGGCGGCTCCAGGGGCGGCCGCCGCAGTTGAAGGGCAGGAGGAGGGGGGGGGGGGGGGGGGAAACGCACGGCCCCCAGGGCGCCCCGAGGGGCGACGAGAAGGGAGCCGCGGCCGCGACGGGCACCAGGGAGGGCGCCGCGACGGGCCCCCAGAGCCGCCTCGACGGGCGATGGGGAGGGCGCCGCGCGGGCCCCCCGAAGTCGCCTCGACGGGCGACTGGTGGGGAGGCCGCGCGGGCCCCCAAGGTCGCCTCGACGGGCGACGGGAGGGGTGGCCGCGCGGGTCCCCGAGGTCGCCTCGACGGGCGACGGGAGGGGAGGCCGCGCGGGTCCCCGAGAGCGCCTCGACGGGCGCTTCGACGGGAGGGGGACCGCGGAGGCCCCCCCAAGGGCACCACGACGGGCGCCACGGAAGGGAAAACCGCCAGGCGCCCCGAGCGCGCGGCGGGCAGAAATTAGGGTTTCGCCGCCGCGCACCACGGGGCGCGCGGCGGACAGTACGCAGCGGAAGCAGGTGGTGGGCCCATACACAGGAAGGCGGCAGACATGCCGCCCTCTGATACCATGTCAAAGATAGTAGGAGTACGGCCTAGGCTTAGTAGCCTAGGCCACAGTAGGACTAGAACGAGGAGGCGCCAAGTACGAGCTAGGAACGTGTGCACGAACAGAATTGAGGAAGGAATGATGGAACTAGCAAGCAGCAGGATACAAATAGCAAACCCTAAGGGGCTGTACTCACTATTGAGTACCCCTCTGCAGGCTACACAAACAACATATTCTGACAGTTCGCCCCAACGCCGGCCCATACGTCGCCTTCCACACCTCCAGCGACATCGTCTCGTAGAAGATCACCTCGACCGACGTGACCACCTTGTTGTCGGTCAGGTCGAGCACCTTCCAACCCTTACTCTCCGGCGACACGCCCAGGTGAAGCCTCCAGCGAGCCTTCGGTGCCAGCTTCCCACCACGCTGCTGCTCGGGAACCATGAACTGCACCATGCAGCCCCAGACCCGCGCCAGCGTGAGGTCGGGCTTCTTCCCGGTCAGCAGCTGGTACGGAGTCGTCCCCGGCGGCGTCGTCGACCACTCCAAGCAGTTGCGCACCCAGACAGCCCGTCGAAGAGCGAGGTGCTGCACGCCCATGTGCAGCAGCATCGTCCACATAGACTCAACAACCGTGCGCATCTCCCGCTCAGCCATGCCGTTCTGCTGCGGAGTGTAGGGGCACGTTAAGTCGTGGACGATGCCCTTCCCGTTGACGAAGTTGTGAGAATGAGAATGGATGAACTATGAAATGAAGTGAGTACAAATGTGAAACCCTAATTGGTTGTACCCCCTATGGGATACCCCACTATAGCCTACACAACAGCATAAGCTACAATGTTCTGACACACCCCCATAGGCAAAGTGGGGGAGAACAAGGGGTCACAAGACCAGTCAAGCAAAGCAAAGCAAAGCAAGCTCAGGGTGGATCACAAAGTCACCACACAGTCCGAGCACAGGGTCAAGGCCACACGGCCAGTTCACATGCAAGAGTACACACATATATATAAAGCTAGACAAGCAAGAGCAGGTATATATATATGTGAGAGTACAAGCAAGGTCAAGAGGAGAGCAAGTGAGGCAAGACGGCAAGACCCAGCTGAGTGCAGAAGCGCTGATGATCACAAGGCGGAAGTGCCTTGGTGAAGACATCAGCAGTGTTGGCCTCAGAGGCCACGTACGCAAGCCGCAACTGTCCACGTTGCTGTAAGCTCACGAGCAAGGAAGTAGCGGAGAGCAATGTGCTTTGTTCTGTGCTCCAGTCGCTGCTCTCGACACAAGGCCAGCATGGCCTTGTTGTCTACGTACAGGACTGGAGGAGAACGAGGCGGCTCTCCAAGGTCGTTCAGCAGCTAGGTGAGCCAGCGAAGCTCCTGTGCAGCCATGGCCCCGGCGTAGATCTCAGCCTCACAACTCGAGCCAAGAACAGAAGACGAGCGAGTAGCCCGCCACGAACAGAGCCGGAACCAAGGCTGAAGGTGTAACCCTGTGACGACCGCTGCGTAGCCTGGTCGTCAGCCCAAGAAGCGTCCGCGTGCCCAGTGAGGACCACTGGACTCCGCCCTCCAAGCACTAGCCCCATGCCCGACGTACTGCACAAGTAGCGCAACACCCTCTTCGCTGCAGCCATGTGCTCTGTCTGTGTCTCCCAGGAGCAAACATAGCGTGCAAGAATGCTAAAGAGGGTATGCAAGGTCAGGTCGTGTGCAGGTCATCAGGTACATGAGGCAGCAACAAGCTCTGGGTACGGGCCACTCGACTCTACGGACTCATCCGAAGGCAGAGCTGAGAGCGAGTGGCGAGTAGACAGAGGAGTGGCCTGAGGCGAGGAGTACGTGAAGCCGAAGCGCTGAAGGACCTGCTGCACCATGTGTGACTGAGTCTGTAATGGTGCGGCGTGCTCTGTCCCGGGTGATCTGCAAGCCAAGGTAGCTGCGCAGTTCACCCAGGTCTGTGCACGTGTGTCTCTTCTGCAGCTCGGACTTCACGTAGGCGAGTCCAGCAGTGTCAGCTGTGGCAAAGACCAAGTCGTCGACGTACACGAGGATGTAGAACGGCGGCAGAGAGGTGTCGGTGCGTAGAAACAGCGACGGGTCGGCAGTAGAAGGAGCAAACCCAAGAGCCGCAAGCGTAGTCCTCAGTGTGTCGTGCCACTCACGTGGCGCCTGGCGGAGACCGTAGACTGGACGCCGGAGACTCCACTGGGTACCAGGAGGAAGACCCAGTGAAGCCAGGTGGGCGACGCAGCCAGATCTCCTCGTGCAGGCTGCCCTGCAAGAAAGCTGTGCTGAAGTCAAGAGAGTGCAGCTCGTAGTCACGGTGAGCAGCAACGTGCAGCAGTACCCGAAGAGTGGTCATCTTCGGGGTGGGGGAGAAGGTCCTGAAAGTAGTCAACTCCCTGCCGCTGACTGAAGCCACGAGCCACGTAACGCGCCTTGAAGACAGGCGGAGAACCCGACGGCCGCTTCACCCTGAAGATCCACATGCCACTGACGATGTTCGCCCCAGGAGGGGGGACAGCGTCAACGTAGGTGCCTGTGGACTTCCAGGAAGCCATCTCTGCATCCATAGCTGCCTGCCACTGAGAGGAGTAGGGACACCTCTATCGCCTCCACGTAAGAGCGCGGAGTCGGGATGTCAAGTGCATCCGGGTCTCCCTCAGGGGTAAGCAGTACGGACACGAGATGAGGTGAGGCAGCTGCCAGACAACTGGAACTCCTCCTGCCTGTCCTCAAGGACGTCCGTGCCAAGGGCACACTCACCCCCGACGGACGGAGGACAGACAGACTCAGACTCAGCAACAAGACTAGCAGCGTAGTCTAAGCGACAGCGAGCAGCAAAGTCGACGAGCTCAGTAACGAGAGCAGAACGCAGCAGTAGACTCGAAAGAAGGGTCAGTGACAACAGTAGCAAGGAGACGCGTGACAGTAGGACTGGCAGCACGAAGAGAGTCCGACTCCGGGTCGGCAAGAGCAGGAAGAGAGGGACTCAGAGGAGAAGGCAAAGGGGCACGCAGAGGAGCAGTGGACGGACGCAGAGACATCCGGTGCGTGCCAGGGACAGGAGGAGGACGCTGACGCGAACCGCGACCGACTAGTGCGAGCTAGCAACGGACAGGCGACGGCAGGGCGAGACGCAGGCTCACGACGCTCAGCCAGACCTCCAGTAGGACCAGTTGTAGGGATAAGGAGCAGGCAAAGGGGAGGTAGGTCTGCAACTGTAGCTGGGACGAGACAGGCTGTGGACACTCTAAGGGAGGAGGAGGACCAGTAGAAGGTGGAGACCAAGAACCTGCTGCGGAGTGGGAACGAAGTACGGTCGAGGCCGCGCGGCGACGCTAGAAGCAGCAGGGACAGCACCAGAACCCTCAGCAGGAGCACCCGCCCCAGCAGCACCACCAAGTAGCTCCAGAACCTCCAGCAGCACCAGGAGCACCCCAGTAGGACTGCCAGCGGTAGTCTCAGCTCCAACACCCTCAGCAGCACCAGCTCCAGTTGCACCCAGGACGAGCACCTCCGGGACCCGCGACCGCAGCACCCTCAGCAGCCGAAGGACCTCCAGCACCAGCAGCACGCCTCCAGCGCCGGGCAAACCACTCACGCAGCTCCTGTGGCGAAAGTGGCTCCCGGCGAGACGAAGCACTCGGAGACCTCCAGGCGGAGCACCTCCAGGCTCAGCACCCCCAGGCGTAGCACCCCTAGGCTCAGCACCCCTAGACGTAGCACCCCTAGGCTCAGCACCCCCAGGCTCAGCACCCCTAGGCTCAGCACCCCCAGGCTCCAGCACCCCCAGGCTCAGCACCCCCAGGCTCAGCACACCTAGGCGCTAGCACCCCCAGGCTCAGCACCCCTAGGCTCAGCACCCCTAGGGCTCAGCACCCCCAGACGTAGTGCACCCCCACAGGCCCGCGACCCCTAGGCTCCGCACCCCCATGGTACAGCACCCCCAGCCTTCAGTCAACCCTCAGCAGCACCAGAGTCCACCAGTGACCTCGACAGGCTCGACTGCGTCTACCTGGGACACACCTGAAGGGGCAGGACCCTGAGGGGGGAGGGGGTCTACCTGGGGGGGACCTGGTACCAGGAAGAGTGGGGGTGGGGGGAGGGACGGAGTGCGGTAGGGGAAGAGGCGGTAGTAGGGGACCGACTCGTCAAACGTGACGTCCTGGGAGGACAGAACACGGCGAGAGGTGGGGTGGTAAAACTGCCACCCAGGCGCGTCAGGGGGGAACCCCAGGAAGACGCAAGGAGCAGCACGAGGGGATAGTTTGTCCGCAGACAGGTCGCGGACAAACGCCCGAGATCCCCAGACCCGGAACGCCGACGCATCGCCAACCTTCCCCGTCCACAGCAAGGCTGGGGAGGTCTCCGGCCTGGAGACCCTGGGGTGGAGGTTGATCTGATGTGCCGCGTACCTCACCGCAAACGGCCACAGAAAATGGGGGGCAGCCGCATGCATCATAGACGTACGAGCGACGTCCATGACCATGCCAATGCGGCGCTCAGCAATCCCATTTTGCTGCGGTGAGTCCGGAAGCGTGAAGGTCTGACGGATGCCCCGTGCACGACAGTAGGCACGCAGAAGGCCAGAGGAGAACTCTCCGCCTCTGTCCGAGTGCAGACGCAGAACAGGAAAGTCCGAGCCGAAGCTCTGCCTGAGCTGGAGACGAGCTGCGCGGATCCAGTCGATCAGCACCTCAGTGACATCACCCTTGCTGCGCAAGGGGAAGACTGTGGTGTAACGCGAGTAGTCGTCAACAACGAGCAGGAAGTAGCGCTCGTGACCCTGTCCACGGACGCGGGCTGGGCCCCACACGTCCATGTGAAGTGTCTGCAACGGGGCCTCTGTCGAAGGAAACTGGGAGGAGTGAGGGGCAGCACGCTGGCGCCCCTCGACACAGGGGACACAGGCAGGGCCAGGGCCCTGAGGAAGGGGAGGGAGGGACCGGGGGAGACCGGACACAAGAAGACGGGAGGCCATACCTCTGAGCCGAAGCAGAGAGGGGTGGCCAAGGCGGTGGTGCCAGAGGAGAGTCTCGTGAGACAGGAGACGACACGAACAGGGGGCAGACTCAGAACCAGACCTGGACGCCGCAGCAAACACCTGACCCGACGTAACTACCCTACCAGACTCAGCAACTGGAGGAGACGCAGTGGTCAGTGGTCAGAGTGTACAGGCTCGACCCCGGCTGACGGGTGAACGTAGCCAGGTGTCGGCCTGTGCCAGCCTCTGTACAGTGGGTCACTCGCTGACGTGCAGGAGTGAACTGGTGGACACCCGCATCCTGTAGGTCAGCACCACTCACCAGGTTCGTCGAGAACGAGGGGAGGTAGAGACCAGACAGGGTGCCAGAGGGAGCCGCCGGACACGGGAGGACTGTGGAGAAACGAGACAGGACCGGACCCTCAGAGGGGTCAGCCAGAGACACCGCAACCGGCCGACTAAGCGGCGTGAGTGTGGTGCGGTCCCGAAAGAAGGAGCGAGACGCCCCAGAGTCAAGAGTGAAGGTGAGGGAGGCCGAAGCCGACGCGGTACCTGAGAGAGCAGACTCACCAGTACCTGAGGACGTAGACACACCAGCACCTAGAGCAGCAGCGTCGTAAGCACCTAGGGCAGCAGCCTCACCAGTACCTAGAGCAGCAGTCTCAATGCCCGGATCGGGCTGGAAACACCGGTAACAGTCACCCTCATCACTAATAGACACAGCATACATGGCAGAGAGAATAGCATCAAAGTCCAGATCAAAGATGGCAACCCCCGCCCTAGACAGCTCGTCCCAGCGAGGGATCTCGGAGGCCTCCGGGAACTGGTGACGCCATGCGTCCGTCAGGCGGCCAAAGCAGCGCGGAGTGGGGTGCGCACCCCCACACTGCTCACCCGCACGGTCGCCGGTGCGCAGGACGTAGGTACACGGACCAAAACCCCCACCCCGCTGGCGTGCAGTGTACCACTCACGGAGCTGCTGAGGGGACAGGGTCGCACGACCACGCTGCTGCTGCTGGCGCGAGCCACCACCGGAGCCACTCCTCTGCAAAGACCCGCGACCAGCTCCACCGCCACCCCCACCGCCTCCACCGCCTCCGCTGCCTCCACTGCCGCCGCCGCCTCCACCGCCTCCTCCACCGCCGCCTCCTCCGCCACCTCCGCTACCACCGCCACCGCCGCCGCGACCTCCGCCTCCACTGCCGCCACCGAACCCCCCACCCCCACCTCCACCTCCACCGCTACCCCCACTCCCCCCACTGCCTCCACCTCCACCTCCACCGCCCGCTCCTCCAGCTCCCTTGCCCCCCTTGCCCTTGCCAGGGCGGCGTCTCCCGCTAGGGGCAGACGCCGCACCGACCGACTCAAGACCAAGGAGGTCGGCCGAAGCAGCAGAGGCAACAGAGGGCAGCAGGGGGGAGGGAGAACACCCCTCAAAGATGGGGGTGCGCGGGTCACCTCGAGAGGCTCCTACAGCGACTATGCTCTTTTCTATCGCGAGGAGGGCCTTCTCGAGGAGGTCTACAGTGAGTGTGGTGGGACAGACTGAGAGAAAGTGGTCCCTGACTACTCGAAGGGAGTCAGGGAGGCGAGTGACTAGGAAGTACAGAGTGATGTACATGGGGGGGGGGTTCGCGGTGCAGAAGTCAGCAGGAAGTGCAGCGCGGTAGCGAGTGTCACTAGTGCGGAGGTGCGTAATGAGGTCAGCAACGGGGGAAAAGAAAGCAAGGTCAGGGAAGAGGTACGGCAGCATGAGACGGCTCAGTGCAGCAGTGGAAGGGGAGGAGTAGCGCGCGACTACAGCGGCGTACAAGGTCTGAGCACTCTTGTACTGACTAAAGTGCGCACGCTCGGAGGTAGGGAGGTGGCGACGCACAGCAAGACGTGCAGCAGCATCGCGCGTGGCCCACTGGGAGCGAACAGTGGCGTCAGCATCAGCAGCAGGGGCAGGGGAAGCGCCAGAGGTGAGGTCAAGGAGAGAGAGGCCGTCCGCCCTATCGCACTGTAAGAACAGCTGTAGGTCATCTACCCAGACCTCAAAGTCAATGGCCCGACCCTCAGCGTCAAAAGTGAGGACACTAGGGGTAGCCATGACAGTAG